CTGCAGATCTTCTACAAGTCTGTTGTTGAGAGCGTCATCTCTTCTGCCATCATCTGTTGGGGCATCAGAGCCAGGGACCTAAAAAGGCTAAACAACCTGATAAAAAGGCTGGTTCTGTTCTGGGGACGACTGTGGAATCTCTGGAGATGATGGTGCAAAGAAGGATTTTACATAAAATCAAGAACATTGTGGACAACCCTGACCATCCTCTTCATCAGACTGTCATAGAAAGACAAAGTGTCTTCAGTCTTTCCTGCCCACAGCCATCAGCATCTACAATAAGTCTTTAGTTAAATGAGTTACACCTCATTTCCCTCTGGGATCAACAAAGTATTTTAGAATTGAATTGCCCTTAAGAGTAATAAATAAATAAATAAGGCTGCCACAACCATTGAAGCTTAAAGACAATTGGTTATAACTCACTCAATATTTTAAAAACGTAATGTGGTATTAGATGAGTTATTCACAACTCAATCGGAGAGGGAGAGCTTACAATATTTCATAAGATTGTCCATATTGTTTTATTTTATATATATTTTTTCCAATTAATGATCAAAATGGCTCATCTTTTCTGAACATAGGGTCTGTGTGTTTGAGTGGTGAAATGCAGCAGGTGATACAGTATGCATTTCTTCATGTATAATAATTTATTTATTTATTACTTTTGCTGCTCTGCCTTTTAATCTGATCAAGTAATTCAGATCAGGTCTGCATGAACCAACATGATTGGATGCTTTGTTTGCTGGCAAATATTAAAGAGTCATTTAACCCCTAACTATTAAGATTTGATTCCAGAGCATTACAGGGCTTACAGTCTGATTTAAACCAGTCAGTTGTAAAATTCCATGAAAAACACTTTACTCCAAATCAGCTTGTTTTTAATAATGCTGCTGTGGCAGAGTGGTTAGAGGAGTCATCCTGGAACCAGTAGGTTGCCAGTTTGATCCCCTGTTCCAGCTGACACTTCACTACCGATGTGTGTCCCATCAGTGTATGAATGTAATTTACTGATCAGTCTCTATAGATTGATTTGTACACGTTAGCTTTGTGATCTAAGAGTGCTGGGTGAATGGGTAAATGAGGACAAAGATTGTAGTGTGAAGCACTTTGAGTGTCCTGATTGGATAGAAAGGCGATATCTACAGTACATTTATAAAAGAAAACAACACAGGGACTTTATTAGAAGATGTTAAATTATTCAATATCAGACCAGATGTCAAAAAGTGAACTCTAACCAAACACATCACAGCTGGMACATGGAAAATGGATCACACTAAATATTTTTTGGACTTTTGACCTTGTTTTGGGTTCTTGAATTGTCTTCAATCGAAGTGCTTTTGAACCTCAGAAAATTTTTAGTTTTTAACTTTAATTCTGTTCATCTTGTTTTTGTGTCTTTTTGCTCACTCTGAATTTGTGTTCTGCATTGTTGGAAGCAATAAAATAAAAATAAAAATCTAACTTTTAGACCAGTAAGTGTAGCAGTGAACAGTTTCTTTTTCTTCTTTGACCCTGAAAAAAGTTGGTCTTCCTGTTTCCTAGAACTGTTTAACTTTGACCCCAAACCTAACCAGCCCCAGTATATCCCGTCACCTTTATATAAACCTTAGCCCTGGTCCTAACACCCCAGTGAAGTTTCACCATGTTAGGACTGAGTGTCTCCATGAAGATGCTGGCTTTGACAAGGAACAGTCGGTGGGAAAAACACAACACACAGTTTTAGCTTCTTGGGTCTTTGAGTATTTTTCATTTCCTTTAACTCAAGAGTTAGTTTTATGTTCATGAGGTTCCTCGAAAATTGTTTTAAGCAGTTAGGAGATAAAAGAATAAAAATTTGATTTCAAACTAAAATTAAAACTTGAAATGTAGTCCCACTGAATAGAGTTTTTGAGTAAATTCAAACTCAGTATCGAGACGGGGTCTCAGGTGGTTAAATGTATATTTTAAAAATAAATAAATATTTTTATACTTAAATATAGCAGATTACAAGCTTAAATAACTTGAATAGTAATAGCTTTTCTTTACCATAAGGTAAGAAGGTGATTCTCTAACTCGTATGTCTCAAACTACCCCGCCCCCGCCCAGTTTAAAGCTTTAAACTAAACTCCAATAGTGATGAATTTGGAAAAAAAGATTAATTAAATTTCAGTAACTGACTTGATAAATGATCTCTTGTAATATTATTTTTTCTTTCTGTGCAAAAACGCAGCCTGAATTGACCTGTTGCTCCACTCATATTTTTTTTTGCAAAGGTCAGCCAAATCTCATCACCAGCACACACACAGAAATCAGTCATTCAATAAATATATAAAAAATCTTTGTATTTAAAATGCTTTAAAAATGCTTCAGGACCCAAGAGCACAACAACTGAGACAACTGAACGGGGGGTCAAACCTGTGGCTCAGACGACTCCCCTAACCACTCTGCCACAGCCACCCAGGTTAACTACAAACGTTCAGTTGTGCATCCAATGGTTACTTTCTGAGAGCTCTATTCAAATGTTTCCAGTATTCATGAAATATTTTGCTAACACTACAGACAAACACCAACTAAGACAAGCCCAAAAACAATATCGCCACTCTGGCTTTTGGCAGTGAGCAACAACTAAACATTTCCTCTACGAACAAAGCTGAAGACAGAAATCACACAGCAGCTTGGTTGCACTTGCATAACATTCACATTTATTTGGTTTCAAGTCCTATCACATTCTAAACATGCTTTTTAACACGTAATGCATCACATTCTTCACAGGTAGTTACAGTAAAAAGAGCAGACAAGAGGTTTCATAAGAAAAAAAAAGACATTTCAGTTGATTAAATTGTGTAAATCTATTTCTTCCCTGAGATAAGCCCACATAAAAAAAAAACCTCTCATCTTGTGCTCCTGTACAACAGGGTTCTGACAGTGCTACGGCACCACGATTGGACCCGTATGCTGGTTTGCCTTAAAAAAAAAAGTAATTCCTGGTTCTATTAACTTGTTCATTTCATTACAGGAAGAGAGAAGGTTGCAATATAAATGTAATAAACATTAAAAATCTTTACAGTTAAACATGACTTCTTGATGAAAAATAAAAGACTAAGTGAATAATCAGGTCATTTTGTAATGATGTGTTGTCAAATAGTTACCAAAAATTAGTTTCTTATCAGCCAAGACATCTGTCAGAGGATGATGTGTACAGAAAAGGGCAAAAGTCTTCATCCAAACTAGGCTACAAGTCAAATGGACCAATTTCTTATTAATTTTATGGCTTAAAAATAACTTTCTCAAAAACGTCAACCTGGTGTGGAAGAATGCCACATTAGCTAAATTTAAATCTCTAAATTATTATGTGGTGCTATGTTTAGTATTAGCTTACTCTGGATGATTCGCATGCAACAATCTATGCTATGCACACATACATTTGTGTGGCAACACAGATATTCAGTTGGTTTCATGTAAAACTAGCTAATACAGCATCTTTTCACACTGGTTTGCAGTTTTTGAAAAAGTTAGTTAAAAACTGCCCTAGTTAGGCTGTTTTATGATTGTTGACATGACTGCCAAGGTACAAACTACTGTTTAACAGAACATCACTTCAAAAATGGGAAACTATCCCTTTAAATTAGCGATGTCATTTAAGATAGCCTCTCAGCTGAGGGGAAACCTGACTGAAAGGCTGAACCGAAATTGCTGGAAGCAGCTTTAAAAAGCAAGACCTGGGCGTCATCATTTTCCACATCATGTGAGCCAGCCTCAGTGATAACACTGCTTCCAGAGTATGTGTGGTCTCGTGCCACACAGTGCCAGGCTCAGGCTAGCAAGTGAGCGCACGTCATCATCAGCATGTCACTTTGACCACACCGCCACTCTCTGAGTGAGAATCGATCACAAGCAACGACAGAGTCCGATATGATAGTGCTCCGTGTCACCTTGAACTGACTTACTAATGATCAACAATCAGAAAACACAAGGAGATAAACGAAAATAAAACACACACACACACACACACACAGAGGCATATCATGATGTGGAGAATATAACGTACATGCCAAACAGCCTGTCATAAGATAACAGGATGAAACTTATAAGGTCAACACAGAAAATAAAGCACTGGTTAGCTGCAGAATGCACAATGACATTTTCACTGACATTCTTCCATCTTCAGCTTTGGATTTATGATAAGAGGCAGGAGTGCAAATATGAGATGATGCTAACTTTACAAAAGGCTGAGTAGATAGTGGGAGGTGACACACCACAGGAGTGTCTGAGGTAAAACGTAACATGAGGCAATGTGTGTAAAAAAAAAAAGCAGGTATCAGCGCTTGATATAAGTTTTCAAACATCACTGAGTGAAAAAGACCAAACATTGTTGCAATGAAACCAATAAATAGGAAGAAAAAAACAGAAACACAGTCACAAATAAAGAGGTAGTTTCAGTACAGAAATTACAAACATCTCTCTTGTCTGCACAAAAAAAGAAAAAAAAAACATAAATTATAAAAAAGACTTTTTTCCAGCATGTGTGGAATGAGAGATCAGGCAGTGAGGTGTTGTCTTACTTTGTACTTGTCAGCTGCTACAGAGAACAAATCCCAACAGATCCTTTTTAATTGTCAGAACTCAGCAGTACATGATGTTCAGTAAATTCCTGAGGCCACATTGTTGTCCATCTCCCTGAACCTTATTCCAGTAAACTACATTTTAAAGGACAATCAGATTATAATGAAAAGTGGTTTTGTGTCATGAATAACTAATATCTAACCAGGTCTGAAAACAGCCTGAGTTGGACAAAGGGTTAAAGTCTGACAAGACTGATGAGGTCATTGCTTGTCTGAACACAAACAACCAAAGTGGGTTGGTGATGCCTAAAACAACTTCAGAGTTTACAGTTTAAAGGAAAATCTCCTAACATACTGACATCAGTTTCACATAAAATAATTACCTAAACATGCAGTCATTTGCAGGCATAAATAGCATCAGCAGCAGCAACATGGAGCAAGTCTGGGGGGGTCACAGCATAAACTGAATTACAGTATATTTTGGCTGAAATAGAGAGACAGTGATATTAGTGTAAAGCTTTCTAAAATCATTTTTGCTGTTTTTAGACATTCATCCATTCAGTTCAACCCTCAACACACCAGGTCCAAATCCACAGTGGATGTCTGCCGTCCTAAAACAGCTCAGTAGTTTCACAGCAGACGTTTCTTAATAAAACTTGGCTCTAGTTGTTCCAAAGGTTAGGGTCCGTACACCAAGCGTGGGGTCTTAAGATATAAGAAAATTAAATTACCTTTGAAAATGATTGCCAGTGAGACATTTAGCCTGAATTGTTGCAAAGAAGTAGAAATATTGGTCAAGAAAGCATAAAAGGTTTTATAATGTTTGACAATACACTTTGTTAAATAGTTTATAAGCCAGGTTTGTTGGTCTGGATCTTTACGGCATTTTTTATTTTGTGGGTGAAAAACAGAGAAGTTTAGGAGCCGCAGCTTTCCAACAGTTCATTTAACATAATGTAAATATTTCAGACCAAATCTTTTTCAAATCTTGACCATTTTGACCCATGTCACTACTGATGGTGCAATTCATGAAATTTTATGTAAATAATTGTGATGTGAAACCAACAACAGTGTAAAACTGGTGAAATAATGTTCACAATCTTAAAGTTTGGACCCTCTATAAAAAGGCAACAGACCACCAGCCACAGGACTGATGAGCTAATGACTGCTCATCAGTCTCGTTTCTTTAACTGAGGTTAACTGAGGCTGTTCACAGAGCTGCGTCTGCATCAATAACAGGTTTATGTCAACTTTCCCATGGAAACGCTCGATGATCTTAGTCAAACGTTTCATTTAACATTTCCTTTGGGTGCAGACACCATGCCTCTGAGAGCTGGCACTGTTTTCTGACAGATGATAATACTGAGCAACTGAACTGATGGGAGATTTGTTTTTCTGTTTAAATCAAGTGACAATGATTAGACTTTTGTTGCATAAAATGATTTACCCCTGAGATTACGTCATGCATAAAGTCCTGTCACCTGAACGCCAATAAAAGAAAATATGGATTTGGTTCTATGTGTTCTAAGAATTCTGCCTCCAGAACACAAAGAAGATGAATAATATGTTTTTTATATAGAAAGCATGTGTAGCAGCATGCTTTTTGTTTGGTAACAAAGAATGTGTCTTTATTTATGTGATTATCACAAATAAAAATCCATTTAACTGTTTTCAGGAATGGAGGCAGATTTTCAAGAACGAGAACAAAAATGTCAGTTCAGCCACACAAAACGAAAGTAATTAAATGTAGTTTTTATTTATTTATTTAGCTTAAGTGAAAAACTCTTATCCAAATTCTGTTGCTGCACCTCTCGTGTTTTCCCAAACAACAGAGGTCTGATTTCAGTCAAACATAGAACAAAACACACTCTATATTTTCAGAGTTGTTCATCTAAATTGACTTATATTTTCATATACCACCGTGGACAAGGGTTATGCAAAAACAATAGATGTTACGAATTTATTAAAAGTTTAGAAAAATGTTGGGGACTGCCTTCCTCCCCTCACAAAAATGTGAAAAATCCCAACAAACATTACCAATAACTACAGAGATACACGAAAATGCAATTTTTAAAATATCAAAAAACAGAAAGAGGTTGTCTGAAGCTTCTGAAAGAAGACTGCTGCATTGGACTGGTGGCGTTGTCACGACTACACGCAGAGAAACTGATAACAAAGAAGCTGCAACATTCTCAAGATGCCGCCGTCTCTCATGCCACCCATCACCAATGCCACGAGAAAAAAAAATCACTCTGCATGCCTCACCTTCAGACTAAATCCTCTTTCTGTGAATAAAAGACTGGTGGGGTGGGGACCTTGAGCAAAAATAAGGTGAAAAAGAAAATAAAAAAAGGCAATTTTCTACAAGAGAACCTACAATGTCCTGGCACCTACGTTTACTAACACTACAGCTACATCAGCACGGTCACTGAAGAACTCCTGAATGCACACTCACTTTACCCTGTTTAGATCCAGGTCTGCAGGGACCTGGGAGAGGAACACACTGGGTGGGCAGTGGGCGCGGTCAAGCGTCCAGGTCTCTGAACCTCACCGGTGTGTGCAAAAAAAAAAAAAAAAGAGTCGTTGTGAGGACTGCATTTTTCCTGCACTTTTCATTGTTTGCACATCATAAAACGGCTGAAAGGATCCAGAGAGGACCCTTCCCAGTGGTTTAAAATGATCATCGCACACTTTAAAAATAAAGACCATTTATCTATGGCTATTCTTTCTAAGACACTGTGCATATGTGCCACAGAGGGGATGCAATCCAGAGGTGAGGCTCCAAAGACCCTCCACTTAGTCTGGATTCACTGAGACACTGAGTCAGTCGCACCGGATGAACTCTTGGCCAGGTTAAAGATAAAAATAAGAAAATCTACATGCTGCTGTTGTCCTCCTGGTCAGGCTGATTGTTTTCACTTTGCCAAAAGAAATAGCTGACGCAGCGTACCACTTCATCTGTTCTACAGCTCTACTGGCCAACAGAACCTTCCAACAGACAGGCTGTTCAGAAGCTGGAGCTTCAGCAGCTTGTTTCAATATTTTGACCCATGCAGTCTGTGCATTGTGAATTACTAGTTCATCACAATTAATTAATTATTTTGGATTCTACGTACAGCTACTTTAACCACAGTAAGCCAGCGTTCTTATGGTGCACTAGAGGCAGGCTAAAATAGCCCGTTTTTTTTCTATAACACTTTCTGTTTTTGTTTAGCAGCATTAAGAATGAATTCCAGTGACATTTGTCTCCCCTTTGTTACATATTGATTAGTTTCTTATCCCGATCCTTCATTGATAAGAAAGATTTTTTTTCTTTTTTCTTTTTTTGTGGTTTGAGCTGTTAGCTCCTACCCATCAATGGGTGTGTGGAGAAAGCATTGCATAACACTTTGGTCAAGAAAATGGGGGGCTGGGGGAGAATAACAAAAAAACCTAGCTACCCTCCCCTCCCCTTCCCCTGCTATTAAGCATTTTATTCTTAGTTTATGATTGTAAAAATACCCGTATGATTCTTTTTTCAGTGATCCCAAATATCCAATAACTGTCACCTTAACTCATGGAATGTTAACTGACAGGACTGCCTCCATAAGCAGGATATCTAGGAGTCCATGCATATATAGTAGCTAAAATTTTGCTAATTACTTTTTCATTTCCAGTGTATCAAAGACACTGTGTTTTTAAACTCTGATTCTTGCAGCTCATTTAAACATTCAGTCTCTGATTGAGATGCCAAAGCATCCACAGGTTTGGTTTTAGACTGGGCAACTCTTCATTTAAAGCAAGAAAAGGTACCTGAAAATAGCAACGACATCTTCCTGAGGTAGTCATAAAATCACTAATGTGTCTCATTGCCCTGTCTGAATAAAATAAGTTCTTTTTAAAGTCTAGTCTAACAACGGCAACGCCGACACATTGAGCAAACTGGAAATACACTTGTAAACTCCAAAGACCAATGCATCTTCGAGCATTTGTTTTGTACAGAAGCATGTGCACAGTGTAAATCAGCATACATTCAGCTCTGTCATGTAATAAATATATAAAGAAAAATATTTAAAAAAAAAAAACGAAACTAGCTGCTTGTCACATTCACAGGAGGGGAGACCGGTCCCTTGACTCAGGCAGTGTGGGGGTGGGGGGTGGGGTTAGTTTGCAGAGGAGGTGGGCAGGCAGGGCAACGGGCCGGTCCTGTAGCTGGTCAGGCTGGATTTGCAGGAGTGCAAGACTGCTTTGAACAAGAGTGGGAGCTGCTCCAGAGGGACATTCACCAACTTTCCTGTGAAGAAAATCAAATATGCAGCATTTTTAATCGGTTTCTTTTCTAAAGACATTTTGTTAAACACCACTAGAGTAAAACTCTCAGAACAACAAAAGATGGATTTTGGAGAATTTGTGCCAGCAGGAACAGGATGGAAGCCAAGAACTGCCATAGTTTCAAATATTCATTTTGATGTGGATTTCTTGAGATCACAACTTAACCATGTTGTTGTCTTCAGAGTCAAATTAGTTTCATCTTTTTATGTTCAGAACAAAAAACAAAGACTGTTTGAAACTTGGTCAAAACTAAACAATTTTTCAATTTATTTTATTTTTATAACAATTTTTGACATAAAAACATAAATTTGCTGAAAACATTTGTGAATTCCTGTCTTCATATCAGCCCATTGTCTTCTTTAATACAAAATAATAAACATCTGATAAAGCTGGGCTTCTAACCTTGAGATTTGTGGGTTCGAGTCCAGGATAGGGGTACCCCCGAAAAAATGGTTCCCTCCTCCCATCCCAGGTTTATTCTTGGAGTGTGTTTTATATTTCATCTAAGTTTTTAGGATTAGTAGAAGTTCATAAACATAAAAAAACAGTTTGCATTTGAGCTGTTAGTTCTTAAAAATATAAATATATAGATTTTATTCAACCTTAACAATAAAACTGA